AAAACAGTTTTCTAGAAAGTGCTCCCCCCCCCAGCTCGGATGGTACCTTAGCTTTGTACTTTTCTATTTTGGGTACAAACGGAAGCTAGTTTTAAAAATATCTCTGAAAACACTTTTTTTTTTTTTTTTTTCAGCGCTCCCACCGGTTGGCATTTCCTGCAAGTAGCTCAGGGAGTTTTGTCAGTGCTTTAAAAAATAAAAAATAAAAAATGCAGAAAGCAGGCTCAGAAACCTCATGCCAGCCTGAGCATGGAGCTCGATTTATGGCAGCAAGGGGCAGAGCAGAGATGGGAGCCCTGGGGAGGGAAGGAAAAAAAAAATCCAGTATGCCAGGAGGCTGAAGGGGAAGCCACGAGCATCCCGTCCCCTCTGCCCTGCCCTGTCCCCAAGTGTCACTCGCTGCTCTGCCGGTGTCTGGGGCACGGAGCAGCTGGCCACGACTTCGATGGCCAGGAGCAAAGAGCTGGGGAATTTATGCACGGCATTAAGCAAGATGCTTTGGTCTCCAACTAGGTTAAATTGCTTTCTATATTTAAATTGCCTGCTGGCTGCTTGGACGCGAGGCACAGCTGCGGAGTGGGGACTTCCATCCAGTAAACAGAGGAGGAAACCCTAATGGATTAATCTGTTCTAATTAGACGATTTGCTGCCACTTTGACACCGGGCTCGCAGGAGTGTGGAGTTGGAGGAGCCGTGAGATGGCTGCAAAGGGCACGTGGGGTGCAAGGGGCACGTCGGGAAGCGAGGAGCAGCAGCAGCCACACACACGGGCAAATTCAAACCCTCCTGTGATGCCTCCGGGCCCTTGCCGTGATTTTGGCAGCGCTCTGAGAAAAGCAGAGCAATTTGCACCCACTGAGGTGCAGGAGCATAGAAGTGCTGAGCTGTACCCCCTAACTCCGGAGCAAGAATTAAATGCAATTTATTCCCTGCCTCCTTTATCTAAGAAAAGGAAGGCTCTCTCCGGGAAAGCTCTAGCAGCTTTCTTCAATTATTGTTTTATGCAACATCCAAAAGAAAAAAAAAAAAATAGTGTTTTCAGCACTTTCTCATATCAAGGAAGTAATTGAGTCAAAATGAAGAAGAAATTATCTATGAAGTTAATTATCTAGCAGACATGTTTTACACTCAGTCATTTTTCACTACCACGCAGTAACTGGAAGCACAGGCATTTTTCTTTCCTGTAATTAATGTGCTGGGAACACACTGCAGAAAGCAGCCGGGGTTACTGCTTGGGGAGGCATCGGTTCCCCAGGCAGCGGGGACGGGGAGCAGGGGAGCAGAGCAGACCCGGCGCTCCCTGGGCCGGTTTCCAGCTCTGGGATTTCCACGCCTTGCAGTCTGCTTGCTTGGAGCCCTTTGTGCGCTCTGTTGAAAGTGAGGGTTTCCAAAAAAACAAGTTATATGGGCAGCAGAAGCTGTTGCTGACACCGCTCCAGCGTTTCCAAGCTCCCTGCCAGCCAGGAGGGCGCACGCAGCCTCCCCGACGCCGTCCCTGCCCGTGGCCACTTTCCACGGAGGGAATTTCTGGTGCTGTGAAGGGATCCTTTCAGCCCCGGTTGCACAGGCACGGCTCTTGTCCTGAGTCCCAAAGCAGGCCAGCAGCAGGGAGGGACCCAAACCTTGTGGTTCTTTGCTCCCTGCAGCTCCCCTGGCACCGTGGACACCAAGCATCACTTGACGGAGCTCCATGCGAGCACAGGAGCTCCTCTCCTTAACACACTGCGTGTGCCAGCCCCCAATTACACCTGGATGCACACGAGCCCCTTCTCAGTGCACACAGGAAACACACAGAAAAATGTCAGCAAGCTTTGAGGATGAGGGGGCTGAACGTTGCTCTGCACGTTGCTCGAGGACAGGATTGAGCCCCTCTGTTTGGCACTGGTGGGGCTGTGTGGGTGCCGAGCGGGCTGGGTACCTTGCTGGGGGTTTATGTGCCTGTGAGTGAGTGAAATCTGCTTTAAAATAAAAAAAAAATTTTGCTTCTGTAAGGTCTCACATCCATCCATCCATCCATCCATCCATCCATCCATCCATCCATCCATCCATCCATCCATCCACCCATCGCCTATTTTATCCCTGCTCTTCCCCCACGGTGGCAGCCCTGGAAGCTGTCCCCGTGCTGTGAACTTGCCCCAGCCGAGGGTTTTGTTTCTGATCCAAACATATTTTTGGAGGACAAAAGCCTTGACCCAGCCCCGGGGGTTGCCTACCTTGAGACCAGCAGAGCGCTGACCCCTGGCAGCGCACACCACGGGTCCCTCCCCCTGCCTTTCTCCTTGATTTAATTCGCTGCTCATTTGCTGCGGTAATTATATTAGGAAGCTGTAAGGCAGGACACCAGAGTCCCTCGCAGGCTGCTAATTGTTGCTGGAACGAGGCCATCGGGGAGGTAATTGAGAGAAACGTGCTCCGATGGCCATGGGGGAATGCTGCAGCTGAGAGCCTGGGCATGGAGAGGTCCCCAAACCCAAACACCGCGCTCCGTGCGCGTCCCCGGCCACCTCACAAGTGCAAGATGTTATTTTTATGCCTTTAAAATTAAACACAGTGTCATGGGGGGCCTGGGGGGGGTGTTCTTTGTGAAGTGAAGCGGCTTGGAAAAAGTTAATGAGGCAAAAATATCTGCTTGTGGGAAAGCCGGAGGTGTCAGGAGAGCCCCAAGGTGACAACCTGTGGATTCAGGGAGGAGGAAAGCGGCACCTCCGTGCCCCCACTGTGCTCTCCCTGTGCCTAAAGGAGAACATCAAGTGGTCGCTGGGGCAGAGGGCCCAGCCCATCCATTTCCAAGCACCTCTCCCGTTGGAAACGTCTCCCAGCGCTGCTGCAGCTGCCTCTGCTGTGAAAGAAGAGACAAAATCCAAGTGGGCTGTCCCGCAGATGTCCAAATCCCAAATCAGCACACTGGAGAACTTGCTTGCAGGGAGCTGAACAGCCCTTAATCCTTTATTCTTTCATTTTCTTTTATATTTTTTTTCTTCTTTTTGCGAGGAGATCAGAACAAATGCGGTGGCTTCTCAGCGGGGGCTTTGCAGGCTGGGTTCTGTTCCTCCCTTCGAGCTGGAGCTGCAGTGAGCTTAAAACCATCCCTTGCTTCAACAGGGCTTGATGCAGAGCAGCTCGGTGCTGGGTTTCCAACACAGACCACAAAATTTTGGGGGCCCCAGAGGAGCCTGCACAAGGTCCCCAAATGCCTCTGGGTTGCTCCGGATCCAGGCGAGGCGAGGCTTGGCTCTGGCTGCAGGGGGCTGGGGACCCCGAGCCCACCCAGTGCCTTCAGTGCTGCTCCTCGGAGAGGTTCCCAAAACAACGCCATGCAAATGAAATCCCCGTCCACATCCCGCAGCTGCTGTCAGAAGGGAAGTTGGCGACTTAGCACGCTGCAGCATCTCCGCCGCAGCCTCCAGAACAATTCCCACTCCGCCTTCTGCTGCTTCAAAAAGCAGACGGTGTCTCCTGGCACTGCCCTCCCTCCAGGAAAGGCTTTGTGTTCAGAAAATAAAAGGACTTAGCAAGGCTTTGGGAGGATAACTCGACGGGATTTTGCATCTCAGCCTCGGCGTGCCCGGCCCAGCATCAGCAGTTCCACCTTGAGGAGCTCCGGCAGACGGAGGTTGGAGGCAGCGGGGTGAGGGCTCGCTGCCTTCCTCTTGTAAAGCTGAATTTCATCATCATCATCACTGCCTCGCACCCTGCCAGCAAGGGCACAGCACCAGCAAATGGAGCAGCTCCAGGCACTGCCATCCTCTTGTCCCCCTGGCACTTGGGGACCACCAGAAGAAGGGGGACGACCCATAGCCCGGGCACCCGGAGCTCTTTGCTGAGGATGGAGGACACAAAATGCTGCAGGGAACGGGATGGATGCCTTGCTGGCAGTCAGGAGGGAGCAAGGAGGAGAATAAAGAAACGTCAGGACTGCAGACAGGGTTAGGGTAGGGAAACTCTTGGCAGATGTGGCATCAGATGTTTCCCTCTGACCTTTATACGCAGCGGAGGAAATCACACCGCTGCCAAGAGGAGTGCTCCGCACCACATCCATGCTCAGCCCCTTTCCTACAGAATCATCCCAGCCAGGGCTGATTTTGGCAGCAGGCTTCCATCTCACCCCAAACACCAGGACCCCCAAATTCAGCCGCAGAGCCCCCCAAACGCTGCCTCCCCCCTGCGCCCCGAGCCGCGCTGATGTTTTTTCGGTGCCGAGCAGCTCAGCACATCTGGCTCTCTGCTTCCGAGCTGTCATTTTCCTGGCTGTTAGAGGAGAGGATATGTTGAGGAGCAGCCTGGCTTTGCAGCGAGGCTCCTGCGAGAGACGTGACATGTTTATTTTCCCCGCGCCAACTCGCACATCAAACGCGCTTTGGGTTTCTGCCTCGGAAAGGGGAAGATCGGTCCCTTTGGCAGCACCCCGGGGGGCACCAGAGCCCCTGCAAGCAGCCTGCTTCACCCTCCAGCCCCCACCGAGATGCCCCTGCCTGCAAATCCCTAATTCGGCTCCCCGGCACGAGCAGCGATGTGGGAGAAGGGGCGTCCGACTCGAGAAACTCGAGGTTTTGCATGACCCAAATTTCCAGCTTTCGTTTAGGTTTTAAGCGCTGTCAGGTGGCTGGGGAGAAAAACAAAAAAAAAAACAAAAAAAAAAAAAAAAAAGAAAACAACACACAAAGGAAAGGAGATGGTATTTTCAAAACCAAAGTTATTTCGCATAAAAAGAAAAAAAAAAAAAGCCCTGCCACATGGGAACGTGTCAGCTCCTTTGAAATGTTTGCTTGTTTGCTTGTCTCCCGGAGCCAAACAGACAGGGAATTGTTCGCAGCCTTGCAAAACATTTCCACTGACCCAAACCCGCACGTTTCTGGAGCCGAGCATCCCCCAGCCCAGCCGGGTTCCCTCCTGCACCAACAGGGGGTCAGAATTTGGGGACACGGACCCCATCCTGCACCCCGCAGCTCCAGCACCGGCATCGCCCCAGCCCGCCGAGCTTGGCTCTTGCTTCTGCTTGGTTCTTTGTTCTTGGTTTATTTCTTTTTTTTTTTTTTTCTTTTTTTTTTCCATTATAGACATCATTTAAAAAAAATAAACTTTACAATAATACATTTGTAGGCGTTGCCATTTGAGCATTTCTTTTTTTTAAAAATAAAGGGGAAATGAAATTTAAAAAAGCCACACCGTAGATGTATATGGTTATGTATATACATACATATATGTAGGTATAGGTGAACACTATATACATACACTATATATGTATATATAAAAGAAAACTGAGTAACATATAGAGGTTTCCAACCGCTGCTGGGGTCGGATCTCATCCCAACCCAAATCCGACAGGACGAAGGATGGAATATTAAAAAAGATGAAAAAAAAAAAAAATCTCCCTCTCCAAGTGACAGACCGAAAGCATCAGGACAACCTCACATCGTTTGGATACTGGTTTCTTTTTCTGGTTTAAAATTCTCACCGACAACGGGAAAAGAAAGAAAAAAACCCAAAGGCAGTAATGATGTAGAGAGCTGGAGCGAGTTCCCTGGCCGGAGGGAGACGGAGAGCCTCCAGTAGCACGGCTGTCCTCCGGAGTGGGGTGCTGAGGATACGTCCCTTGTCCCCACGGGGTCCCCACAGCGTGCCCGAGCTGGTGGCTCCTGCAGCCAGCCCTTGCCCGAGCTCTGCTCGATGCTCGTTTTCCCTCCCCGGTGCCGTTCACAGCTTTGGCTCCCCATTTCGGGGCGGCACGGGTGGGTTTTGCCACGAGCCATCGGGCTCCTGCTTCAGCGGAGACACCCAACGCGCCGTAAAATGAACCAAAAACGTCAAGGAAAAATTAAAAAAAAAAAAAACAAGGGGGGGAAGAAAACCACCAAAAGTTTCCCAGCACCACCAGGGTCCATCCGCCGCCGTGCCGTGGTGGCAGCGCCGGTGTTTGGGAGCGTTCCAGTCCGGAGCCCGAGGTGAGCCTTGGCTTCCCGATGTTCCCAAACCGGCACCGGTGGCGTGGTCGAGGCTGGGGCGAGCGTCCCCGTCCCTCTATAGCACCAGCACCAGGAGGAGGACGGGCACGGTGGGCAGGATCCGGCCCGCCCAGTGCCGGCTGCCGCCTGCCTTGGGGTCCACGAAGGTCTTCTGGTCCGGCATGGTGTCCGTGGTCAGCTGGGTCTGCGGGACAGGGGAGAGCAAGGGGTCAGCAGCACCCTCAGGTTTGTTTTTTTAGGGAGGAGAGCCTATTTTTGCCCATGGGGCGGTGAGAAATGCAGTCACTGGGATGAGGTCCCCGCAGCACCCCCTCCCCAGGTTCCCCCCTGTCCCTAATTTACCTCTGAGTAGCACAGGCTCTGCTCTTTGGACTTGTTTAGCTTCTGTCCGTGCTCCTGGAGGGGAGGAAGGAGGCAGGCTCAGGGCAGGCTCCTGCGCCCGGGGCTGCACCCCAGGGCTGGGCTCCCCAGGGTCTTTGCCGGCCCCTTGGATTTGCAACCAAAAGCGAAGCTGCAAGTGTGGACATCTCAGCCCCAGGTTTATTCCCCCCGAAAATGACCCTGCTCAGCACCGCTGTGAAACCCACAGGAATCCGTGCCCCCATCCCCAGCGCAAGGCACCAAACCACAAGCCCAGCGAAACACGAGAAAATCCATATTTTCCCAGTTGCCCAAAACCACAGGGAATGCAATCGTTTGTTTGCACCCTCAACAAGCCCAGGGGCAGAAGTGGGGCTCAGGACGGGTGCTGAGCATGGAGCAGGACACAAATCCTCCCTTCCCTGCACCAGGACCCCCCGTCCCACCCGGCAGAGAGGGGGTGCTCCCCCAGGGGGGGCGGCCGTGCCGGGTCCCTGTGCTCCAGCGTGAAATGGAGCCGCTGATTGTCTCACGGAGCGGTAACTAGAAGACAGAAGAGGTAATTACTCGAGCGTGCCGGATCTAATTAGAGGCTGCCCAAGGGTGACATTGCTGCCTGCACGTGCTGCGGGCGGAGGCGATGCTCCCCCGGCTCTGCGTGCACCCACCCACGGCACGGTGCTGGCTGCAGCCCCGAAAATGATGCTCAGCGGGCACAGCACCGCTGCAGGACCACCTGGAGCAGGACCAGGGGGGCCAAATCCTGCCGGGCACCTGGGTACCAACACCCTGTGTAAGCCAAGCCGCGTGCTCATGGCTTGCACCGAGCTGTGCCAAAAGAAGAAGGACTTTTTGGAGGTCCAGAGCTGCCCAGCTCTTCACCAGCACCCCCAGTTTGCAGAAGCAACTGGGATGGGCTCCTACCTGGATGGAGGTGCAGGTGGTGATGATGCTCGTGTCGTACATGGTGTTGCTGTAGTTGATGTCATCGGTGGACGGGCTTTTCTCCGTCTTGGGCGGCACGGTGACGGGGACCAAGCGCGTCCTGGGGGTGAGGTTCACATCGGTGCCGTTGCCAAAGGCCTGGATGGCGTTTCCTGGGGGGGCAGGAGAAGGCATTTACGTGGGGGCCGTGCAAACGGGGCGCTGGCCACGATGGGCAGGGGAAGGAGGGCGATGGGGGAGCGCCTTACGGAGGCAGGGGTTCTCCGTGAAGTCCCTGAGGAACTTCTCGCACTCCTCCTCCAGGTTGCCGCTGCCTTTGCAGGAGCACCAGGGCGAGATGGTGATGCTGGTGGTGCTGGCGTCCACGTAGTTGGGCGTCATGTCGAAGCCTGCACCCAGGAGAGGAAGAGGAGGAGGGATGAAGGGCTGAGGATGGGTTATGGATGGGGAGAGCCCTCCTCTCTGTGTCCCATCCGAGCACTCACCGATGAGCCCCGCGTAGGAGCCCAGGCACGCCTGGTAGTTGTCCCCGGGGCAGCTCGTCAGGGACTGGAAGGAGGCTTGGCAATTAGCGTGGAAATCGGCCAGCCGGGACCTGGGGGCAGAAACAGGAGGGAGAGGGACGGGATTTCACCGAGCGACCCAGCAGCGAAATTTGTAAAAAAAAAAAATAAAGGAAACAAAAGGTGACGAACGGGATATAGAGGAGAGCTCGGTGAGAGCTGGAGACTCCAGAAATGCAGCGTGACCCCAGCAGGCACCCACCCCCAGGCATGTACCCCCCACCCCAGGGACCCCCACCCCTGTCTCTGCTGCTCCCCCGTCCCCACCCCACCGCTGCCACCCCATAAAACTTCACCACTTCATCTGGCCGCCCCGCTCCCGGCGTCGTTACGCGACTGTAAAATTTGACTGCTTGTTTTTTATCTTCCCCTTGAAACGTTCAGGCTCAGAGTGCAATTAAAATGCCAGAGGTTGGGGTTTGAATGTTTTTCTTTTGTGGCTGAGATGGGGAAAAACAAACCGGAGCCTCACAGGGAGCCTGGGGGGCTGGGACCGTCTCGTGTCCCTTTCCTTGGGATGAACCAAGCCACCGAGGTGGAAGGATCAAGAAATGTGAAGGATGAAGAAGGGGACGGATGGATGGACTGGGCAGATAGATGGATGGAGGGCAGTTTTCCAAATTGACTCAGTCATTAGATGGACAGACACGAGGCTGAATTGTGGCCCGGGCTGGATCTCAATCACAAGGAGCAATCGCTGCGAAGCGGCCAAGCTGCTGACACTGTGGATGAGACCTTGCATTTCACAACAAAAAACCTCCTCGGCTCTTTTTCTCACGCGTCATATAGGAAGAAGAAAGCATACATTATTTTCTTTAGCTTCCTTTTCCTTCCTTCTTAATTAAATGTCATCTTTGTCCAACCAGTGATTGAATCATCCGGCAGTACCTGCCTAAAGCCATGAGAACTGATGAAAATAAAGGCTAGAAACTGTTGTTTTTTAAATAGGAATGATTTGTTTTCAGGAGGTTTCTGATCGAATTAAATGGGGGAGCAAATGAAGCAGTGATTGAATGGGGTGGAAGGGATCCGCAGCAATACCTTGCATTTATCCAGCACTTTTCATCACAACTCGAGTGCGCTAAAGGGAAGAGGGCGCAGGCACCGCCTAATCGCAACCAGAGCCAGGGAAAGGGACGGATCCTGCTCGCCAGCACACGGCCAGAAGCCTGCTGCAGCTTCACGTGTTAGGTACCGGGGGAAGGACAGGGGAGGGAACAAAGCCCAGCTGCTTGGGGCTGCTCCAGGGCACCGGCTGCTCCGTGCCGGAGCGCAGCGCTTGGTGCAGCACAGCCTTTTCCTGAACACTTCTGCTCTTTCCAACCACCCGTGACCGGGGTTTTTTTCCAAACCACCGATGCATCCATCTCTCATGGAGCAGCTGAGTCTCTTTTTCGGGAACTCCCCCACCCTTCACACCCCAGCATCACCCCACAGCATCCCTTCTGCTGCTTCCCACGGCTGGCTTTGCGCGCAGCTTTTGCCCATCATCGGGCGGCTGGCGGTGCCAGTTGGATTATTTCCCCGCTTCCACCAGCTGTCTGACCCACTTAGCGCCTCCCAACAGACCACAGATTTTCCAGGGCAAGGTCGGCCTCTTCATCTGGGTTATTGGAGCACTCGTGACGAGGAGATGGGACTCCTGGGCACCGCTTGCTATACGTGGGGAATGCTAAAAACCAGCAGCGGTGCAGCTGGTCACCAAGACACACAGCCAGGGATGTCTGCTCGCTCGCATGGGGAAGCTTTGGGGTATGAAACCCAGAGGGGAGAGCCTGGGTGGGCATCACACGGCAGCAAAGCCCCAGCTCTGCTCCTTGGCTCCTCGTGGTTCCCACCGCAGGGAGGTATTTTGGACTCCCTCCCTCGCTCCGCGGGAGATAAAGTTTCCGACAGCATTTCCCTCTGCCCAAATCCGAGGCGAAGGCACGTCAGTTCTCCTAAAGAACTGTGGCAAGTTCATCACCGAGTGCCATGAAAATTTGTCACGCTGCTCCCCGGGGCCCTGCTCCTGGCTTGTAGCATCCTCTAAGGCAAATGTTATTCTTTTCATAATACATGACAAGCCAGCTGGTAATCTTTCCAGAATATCCAAGCCAGATGTCACTCTTTCCGTTGTATACAATGAGTTCGCAGTCGGTGGATGAGGCTTGAACTGCCAGGAATAAACCTTACTGGAACCAGCCCACAGCTTCTCAGATTTCTGCTTTTAAGTTCCCGGGCAAAAAAGGGGACGGAGCCAAGTCCATCCAAGCAGAAACAGGAGGAGCTGGTGCCAAACTGCTGGCTCGCAGCTCAAGGTGCAGGTGGGCTTGGCCAGTCCCTGCCTGGATGCACGAGAGCAGCTGGGGTCAGTGATGGGGAAAAAAAGGAAGACACCAAGCATGACCTTGACCTTGCCTGCTTTCCTGAAGGGCCTCCAGGACAACCCCCTCATGATATACATCCTTCCAAGCCAACCCTTGCAAGCACGCCCTGCATTTTTCATTTTTGGTGCTTGCCAACCCCTCTGCAAGGTCACTGATTCACGAAGGTTGGAGAAACCCTCCAAGATCATCTGGCCCAACCCTACTACCAACATCACCCACATGTCCCTAAGCACCAGGTCCAACCCCAACGGGGCTTCCTCCCAGGCACCCATCCCAAATAACTCATCTCCTGCCTTGGTACGATGAAGGAAAGCCTCAGCAGCTTGCCAACGTGATATCTTTAATCCAACATTAAAAGTTACCTGCACAGCAGAGGATTTCAGATTGTGGGTTTTTTTTGTGTGTGTTTGGTACGTTGCAATTTTTTTGAGCTGAAAAATCCCCGGAACAGATGCGAGGTGCCTAATTGGGTGCTAATTGTTCCCATCACCACATGCCTGTAAGAAGTCCGAGCCCGGCGCTGGTAATAACTCTCTCCCCATCAAAGCGAACAGCATCAGGCTCTCGAATATTTCATGCAGAAAATGTCCAAGATGCGGAGATTACTCAAGACATGTTTTTCACAGGCAATTTACAGGGACCAAGGAAAAATGGCTTTAATAGACATCAGCGCGGAGAGGCGGCATAGAAAAAATGCCTGCCCCCCCTCCCCGCAGCTCAGGAAGCTGTGACAAGCACACAAAGCCCAGCAAGACATAAAAAGCCCCCAGGGCCCGCTGGGTGCCCTCCTCCTGGTTGCTCGTCCTGCTGGAGATGAATTCATTTGGAGCCAGGGGATGCAGAAATAAAAAATGAGCATCCAACAACGGGGGCGGCGTGGCCGGGTAACGCAGCGAGGCGTGGGGATGGCATCAGCTAAAGGAACGAGAGAGGAGCCAGGGCAAAACTTCACTGCTCTGGATGAGCCTCTATAAAAGCTAGGAAATAGCTCACAGGGGAAAAAAAAAAGGATGGATGGAAATACTTGTTTTATCCAGGAAAAGTTACCGGCCAACTTGGCTTTCCAACTTGGCTTTACACCTGATTTAGTGAAAATCACGTCTTTGGAGGATGTGCACCGGTGCCCACAACCAGCCCAAAGCTGCCAAGGGAGATGGGAACAGCAGGAAAGAGGCAAAAAGAACAAACCAGAGAGAGGCAAAGGAGAACCCAAAATTACAGAGTCAGAAGAGCCAAGCTAGCTTGAGAAAAAGGAAACGAGGACAGACAGACCAGGGGCTGGGTTGGAGGTGGTTAGTTAAGAAGTTGAGTTACCAGATGTATTTTAGGACACTGCATGTTGATTCATCACGGATAAGAGCAGTTGAATGATTTTTTTTTATCCTCTTGCCTATGCTCAAACCCTATCATTACCCGGTAAGGGAAGGGAAGAATTAAACACACGCATCATTTGATTTTAATTGAAGGACTGTTCTATTTCATTGAACTGCTAACTAAGCCGAACAGGAGATTGTGTTTACATAAGCAAACCCTGAGTCAGTATAGACTTGCTGTCACATTAAGTCAATACTTATGAAGGCTCTCTATTTAATTATTCAGTGCGAATTGACTTATTATTGTGTTAAGACTCTGGGCAGCCTTGAGCAAGGTGGCCACCGAGCCGAGATCGCTCCCGGCTGCCTCTGCACATGGGTGCCCGCGGGGTCCCCGGGGAGACGCACCCCACCTGCATCCACCCTCCTCCCCATTCCTTCCTTTGGTGGGAAGCCAAAGCCCCCAGGCTGCACAGATTTGATATTTTAGGTCCAATTCAGAGGGTTTTTTTTGCAGGTAATTACAGCCCTGATGCAGGCACCCACTTTGGGGACCCCATTGCCCATGCCCTGTTCCCCCCAAGACCCCAGCGCTGCTCCCCTCTGCCTCTCCTGGAGCTGCTGCTAAATCCAGGAGTGTTTTTACTTCCTCCTCCTCCTCCTCCTCCCATACCAGGGACAGCTGAGCTGCTCTCATTACGTGGCGTAATGAGAAAGTTGAGCTGCGCTGCTGTTTATCAAGGCAACATCCATTACAGATGGCACTTTGCGCTCAGCGAAGGGCGTGAAGGCGAGGACGCGGGCTGAAAAGAAAGCGTTTTGCTCCTGTGTTTGGTGTTTAATTGATACAGAGCCAAGCTTCCCTCTTGGGCCATCAGTGATGGAGCAGGGCTTCCCCTCCCCAGGGCACGGCTCGGGAATTGGCTTCACAACCACAGCCAAAATTAGGTTATTTCTGCCTGGTTTTACCCAAATCAACCTCCCCAACACACACAGACAGACACAGGGGTCCTGCCAGGAGCTGGGCAAGTTCCCTGCCTCCCCCCCACCACAAACACTGCCTGAAATACACCAAAAAATAGAGAAAACTCAGGAAAACGAACAGCCAGCCTGCCTGTGGATGCTGAGGAGCAAGAGCCAGTGGAGGCTGGGAAATTCTTCAGCACCAGCATCAGTGAAGCATATAAGACCAGATTATTTGTGTTCCCGACTTGCTGATGCAAGATGAAAAATACAGCAAACTGCAGCTGCTGAAATCAGCTCTTTTTTTTTTTTTTTTTTTTTTTCCCCCTCTCCTTCCCTTTCCCCTTAGCTGAGGTTAGTGTTTTGCAAAAAGGTTTTTATATTCTGGGAGCTAAAACCTGTCCGTTGCAATCAGGCACAAAGCTCGGGGAGTTTGTCAGGCTCCTCTGCTGTGCTGGGAAGAGCTCCCCGCACGAAAAGCTGCGCAAATTGCAGCCATCTGGGCTTGATTGCGCCCTGCCCTCGCGGCTAGAGCCGAATTTGGGGACCGGGAACCTCATGGAAGGGGTCGGTGGCCTCGCAGGTGCTCCTGCTCTGAGCATCCCCATGCGCCCAGCTGGGTGCTGATCACTACAAACGCAGAGGAAACATCCCCAGAAAGGCACATGCCTGTACTGAGGGCTTCACCCTTCATTAGGCATTGAGCCAGGAGGCCTAATTAGGGTCTGAACCCATGCAGGAGAGTTATCTCATCTCCCATCACTGCTGGAGCAGCAGCAGATCTGCTCTGGAGTTCGATGCCCTTGCAAGTCCTGTGCTCTGATAAGGGCGAGCATCACTCCGTGATCCCGACCTGATAAGTGGGATAAGGAACTATTCCTGCACAAGGGACTGAAAGCTGCACGTGCCCACGGGCAGGGGCACAGGGGTGCAGAGGATTTCATGCCCAGCTGCTCCTCGGTGGGTGTGAGCCAGAGTCAGACACCATGGGAAGCAGGACCAAGCCCTCACACTGTTCAGACACGGTCCCAGCACCCAGTGATGATCCTGGCAGCAATCCTTTATCCTTTTGCCAATTCTTTGTTATTCCTAAAGGCACAGAGGAGCAGAGACCCCCAGCACCAGCCCCACAGACCGCTCCCCACCTGCAAAACCAGCCCCAGGAAGAAACACGGAGATGGAGGGGGGTGGTTGGAGGAGACCCCAAAACAGCAGCGGGGCAATAAAGCACACCCCGTGTGCGCACGCCTGCTCACTGGGAATTAACAGAGCACCCAGCCTCTGCCAGAGCCGTTCCCATCCCAAATACCTGCGATGAAAAAGCCAGACCCACTCTAACTCGCAAAGCAGCATCAGTACAGCAAAAAAAAAATAAAATTCTTCCTTTTCTTTTTGTTTTTTGTTTTGTTTTCCCGCTTGCCTCCGGGGAGGGAGCTCAGCTCAGGTGCAGGCACCGCTCGCCCCGGATAGGTCACCGCTTTTAAACACTTTCACAGCTGCAAAACCGAGGAGGTCAAGCGAGCTGCTGGAGCGTGTCAGCATCCCCAGCATCCCCGGGCTCCCCGCCGCAGGCTCTTAACCCTCCTCACACCCCGGTGCTGCAGCCTGGTTCATGCAGCTGCTTGTGATGGGGGTGCTGAGGTTTGGGGAGCCCCCCTGAGCCCCCCCAGGGCAGAGGGGACAGGAACCTGAACCACAGGTCAGTGCGCACCATGCAGAGCTTTGCAAGGTCCCATTGTGGGGAGAAAATCCCCAAGATTCAGGCAAAAATCTCTGCACACCGACGCTCCAAGCTGGATCCAGGAATAAATCAGGGTTTGGGGCACCTCTCCCTAACCGGGCACCAGCATCTGCTGCCAGAAAATGCATTTCCCCTTAGAGCAAACAGACAAAAACCCCAAAAATGGGTTGTTCCCGCCACGAGCTGGGCACATCCACAGCATTTAATGCCTGAGCAAGCCTCTCCTGCTGCCGGAGAGGTGCTGCCATTAATTTGGCCGCGGCTCAGCACAGCCCCGATATCTTTTATTCATAGACATTGGCGTATTGTATTACTTTTTGATAAAAAGCCACATTCCCACACTTCAAACGCAGTCGCTCGCAGCCAGGGGAGGACCCAAAGCACCATTATTTATTTTGCCACCGGGCTGTGGGAACCTCCATCACCGCGATGGCAAGAAGACCCTCCTCCTCCTAGCAAACTTATTCTTTACGAGGCTGATCCGGACCCTGGAGGGTGACAGGAGGTTTTTTGCCCTATGAATAATGGGTTTCATAATGGAGAAAAAGCCTGATCTCCCCCGACTTGGCTTCAGCACCGGGAGAGGAGCGCGTTTCGCCAGTGATGGAGTTTCGCTGGGGATGCTGAAAGCGCTCCGAGGGGTTTTGCTGGGTGTGGGTGCCCCCAGTGCCACGGAGCCTGAGCGCATTTCTCCTCCCCATGCCTTGGGGAGATGAGGAAGCCCTCCAAAGCCTGAAAACCATACACAGCCCTGCACAAACCCGTGGGCTCACCCCGCAACAAGGTGGGGACCAGGCTCAAGGCCCCCTCCCAGCGCAGGAACCTCTCCAGGAGCAGCCAGAAACCCTTAAACCTCCCCATTTTACACCACGAAAAAAAAGCTGTGTATGTTCACATACCCATCCAGGAGGACGCAAAACCCTCAGGACAACCCAAAACCATGAAAAGGAGCCGAGCAACAAGAAAACGATGCCAAACCAGCCCCGGCCCCGTGCCAAATCCTCCCCAAAAACACCGAGCGGTGCCCTTACCGGCAGAGGTGGTCGGCCCGGCACACGTTGCGCAGCTCCAGGCAGTTGGGCTTGTGCTTGTCCTCGTAGGAGCAGGAGGGGACGATGGTTTGCCGCCGGCGCTCGGCGCAAGCCTGGTCCTTGCAGGAGCAGAAGAGGAGGCGGTAGGTGTACTCGCTGGGCACGCGGTCGAAGAACTGGCGCAGGGCTTTGTGGCATTTCCGCCGGCTGCAGTGCTCGGTGGCCGAGATCTCCTTGCTGCAGGTGGAGATGTAGCCCGAGCGCAGGCGCTTGCAGTTGTCGTTCAGGTTGCAGGCTTTGGCCGCGTCCAGGCAGTGGTTGCTTTTGGAGTTGGTGGCCGGGTCCATTCCTGCCCCGAGAGCAAGATATGGGGAAGAGGTGAGGCTGGGGGCGCGTCCTCGAGCCCCAAAATGCCACCAGGAAGGGGTTGGCACCGCCGTGTCCCTGCTGGGCTGGAGGTGGGCGCACTGCTGTTGTCCCCCCATCCTTTTACCCCCTGCACGATCTGGAAGCCTTCCTCCAAAAAGGAAAGGGGTCACGCACACGGGGACCTGGTTAAACCATCCTCAGTGCGTAATTCATGCCATGAATTTACAATTTTACCTCCAGTCAATTATTCAAAGAATAATTATTAATTATCCAGCCTGCTCCAAAGCAGAACAATCTGATGAGCTGCACGGGGCACAGCCAGCCTCCACATCCCCTCCTGGGGCTCCCCAAAACCAGGTCACCCCCAGCCATGACCCCAAAAGGGCCAAGTCCTGCCCTGGCAGGGACGATGGGGACGGAGCTGGGCACCAGCCGTGTCCTGCATCCACCCCGGGAATCCCAGGTGTCAGCAAATAAAGCAGCCAAGGGAGAGGATGGACAGAGCCAAACCACCGAGTGGGAACAAACGCTGATTTTTTTCCATTTTTTTTCTTTGTTTTTGTCAAAATGATGAATTGCCCTTGGCAGGCCAGGTGCTTTTTTAAAAGTCACCTGACTGCACCAGCAATTTCTTCCCTAATTTCCCCTCCTTCGCAGCCCAGCCAATTTCGTGGATTCTTCCATTGTCTCCTGGCTTCCACTGGCAAAGACAAATGACAGCACTGAGGAGGGTTTCCTACCGGGCGTGTTTGTAAGGCCCTGGCAATTAGCAAATGGCAATCAGCTGCCTTGGGGAGCACGGTTCTCCTTCTTTGCTTTGCCTCTTTGAGTGCAGCGATGCCCATGGTCCCGCTGCCACCCAGGGCGTGCAGATGAGGAGCATTTTGGGGGCACCGTTTGCAGCCCAGGACGCAATTTTGACTCGTTTTCCTGCTGTTTTAGGAATAAAGCTTTGAGAGGGGGAAAAAGGAGTAAAGAGGAGCCCCAAAGAGGGGACAGGGCAAGAATTTGGCCACAGGAGCCCCCTCAGCCCAACCACGGGGACCCTCCAGCCAAGGATGGAGCCAGCTCACGACCCCGATGCCAGGGGAGCAGGAGGGGATGAAGTGTGTGAAGAGGAAGGGGGAGCACTGATTCCCCTTTCTGCTCATCCAAAGCAGCCCCTGGCTCTGCGGGGGGACGCAGGGAGCCTTCGCAGCTCTCCAGCACGAGCGTGGGATCCATGCAAAGTGCCGGCTTCCTGCCTAATCCTCCCGAGCACCGCGCCTGCCCTGCCCCGGACCTGCGGGGACCTGGATGCATTTTAATAGAGCCGATGCTTGAGAGCGCAGGGTTCCTGGGGAGCTCATTAATAAAGCACGGGCATGAAAATTTCATGAGGCGGGCAGGAGACGGGGGCCAAGGAGCTTCGGGAGCACCGGGAGGCGCGGTGCCACCGGCTGTCCCTGCCCGATTCGAACAGGATGGGGCTGGGGGAAGAGGAGGAGGAGGAGGGTGATGAGGAAGGCAGCACGGGCTGAGCCTGGGCACCCGATGCCCACCAGTTCTTGGGTGCTTGCCCCGTGCTTCCCGAACGAGGGGCTGAGCCTTTTGGGGAGCTGCTGCAAACACCAGTGCTGGGCGAGCCTCTTGATCTCACCACTCCAATTCCCCCAATTTCCCCCAATTCCTGTGCCTGCCTCTTTCACCACAGCTGCCATTCCTGCAGGGCGCTGGGTAAAGGCTCTCGTTTTGCACCATCCATCCTCACCCCGATGCTCTGCTCTGCCCCCAGCCCCCTGCTCCCCCCCCCATGCTCCCAGCAACCAAAACCCAGCGGCGAGCATCGAGCGTGGAGCATCGCCTCCCTCCCTCCCTTCCTCCTCGCAAGGTAACGTAATCCCTGCGCTATCCCCACAGGCAATTAGCAGCGCGCCGGCTCAGCCTTGTTATCCAGAAACAACAGCAACAGCTCATTTGCTTCAGCCGCTTGGGCTGCGGGTCAGGGCTGGGGGTCCCGGGGGGCTCCCCGCAGCTCCAGCCCCACACGAGGGGGATGGAGAGGGGCTGGAGGCAGCAGCGAGGCCACCCCGGTGGCCACAGCGCATCTGCGGAGCGTAGCCCCTGGTTCCCCCTTCCCCAAAAGCCGGAGAGGCTTCCTTCCCCCCTCGCTTTGCATTGCTGAATAAATCAAGCCGTGAGCGTTGATTCCCCCGCTCCAGACACTCCGCTTTTCCGACTTTCCAGCGGCTGAAATATTTCCTTGACTGATAATGCAATCCAAAAAGGCACGCGGGAGACAAGAGGTGGGTGGCATCGGCATCCCAAACAGGCGTTGAGCTCCCCGGGGGGAGCCTCGGAGAGGGGCTCCAGGAGCCAAAACCCAGCGGCGAGGGGGTCCCCGAGGTGCACCCATGAGTTGGGCACAAGGCGAGGGGTGCCATGGGGGGCGCAGGGCTCCCCGAACCCCCTGGCTGGCTCTCGGGGAAAGGGTTAAGAGGAGAAAGAAGCCAAGGCATCGCTGACCTAATTCGGAAGAGGGGTGGTGGCAGAGCTGAGGGTTGTCATGGAAATAGATGGCAAAAAAAAAGTTCCTGATGGACCACGGTGGGGTTTGGGTTCGGAGAGGAGGGCGTAGGGCGGAGAGGTGCTCCCAGGGGCTCTGCTCCTCCTCCGAGCAGCATCCCAGGGCTCAGCTCCAGGCCAGCGGCCCCAAGGAGGGACAAACAGGGTCCCCCCCCAGCTTCCCAGCCACCGAGGGCACAGACAGGGCATCCCTCGGCTCCCAGGACACAGAGAGCTTTTCATGCAGGACCCACGGGCAGCGGGAGGACTCTGCGCCCTCTCCAAGCTCCCCCACCTCATGCCACAGCCCCAGGGGACGTGGCAAGACAAACGAGTGAGTTCTGGCCCCAAAGCCCACCTTCTCTACTTATTATTCACCCATGGCTGGAATCCAGGAGGTAAAAACCGAAATCACAGCCTGGGGGGAACTCAGAGCCCAGCAGGAGGACGCTGTCGGTGCTCCAGGAAGGGGCAACACCGGACGATGCCCAAGCACCAGGTCTGGGGAGATGGAGGAGAAATGGGCAGGGAGGTTTTGGGCAGGGGGTTTTGGGGCAGGGGGATTTTGGACAAGCCAAAGGTGGGCTAGGGGGAGTGCTGGAGTGAAACACAGGGGAAGGAGGTGCAAGGTTTCACCGGCAGGGAGCTGGGTTGCGGGTTTGTATTCCCGGGCAGGAGCAGCCGAAGCGGCGGATGCATCTTGCTTTTATTACCTGAGAAAATTGAAGCGAGTCTGAATATATCAGAGAGACGAGAGGTGACCGGCTCGTAGGGGGAAGCTTCATAAAATTCTTCTCCTGGAGTGGGAGGGAGGAAAGAGAAGGGGAAGAGGAAGCAAATTAAAAGAGCGCAGTGAGCGAGCGCGGCCACGGCCACCTCCAGCTGGAGAAGGGCAAAGCGAGAAGCACCCCAAGCACAGCCCTGCGGGGCATGAGGAGCCCGCTTGGGCCATGTTTTGGGTGATTTTTGGTGGCTGTCGTGAGCTCGGCTCCTTGCCCCAGCTGGGTTTTTCCAGGGCTGAGCCCCGCGGTTCAGCGGATTCACACGCACAAGGTCAGCGTCCCGCCGGCACGGCCAGCTGCACGCCGGAGGGTGAAGGGTCTGGGCTCAAGGCCGGATTTTCCTTTGTTTGTTTGTTAACTGAAAAAAGCATTTCCTTCAAAAAGAAAGCTGTAAAAAATGTCTTCCGCTCCCCTCTGCCTCTGGTGCGCTTTGGAGAAAGGGGAAAATTTCAGGTTGTGGTGGGGTGGGGGGACGCAGAGGTGGCCGGAGAAGCAAATTGTTTCGGCACCGACCTACCCACCCTAAATTCCTCCTTCCTCACTGCCGGGGGAATCCCCAGCCCAGCCGCTTCTCCCCCCTGCCCTAAGCACAACCCCACGTGCTCTCGCCGCGCGCCCTTCGTGTAACTCCAGAGAAATTTGATTTCAGGAGAACCGCAGCTCCCGGGGGAGGAAACGCTCTCCTCAAACCCCATCAGCCACAAGATAAAAAAAAAATAGACCATATATTAAAAAATATATAAAAATAAATCAGTGGCTGGACCTGGAAAGCCCCGGTCAGAGGCTGAGCACCAGCCCAGAGCATCGATTTCCATTGTGCTTGGCAGCCCTCGGGGATGGATCCTGCGCCCTGGTGCCCTCGCTGGGGGTAACCCCGCTGTGCCCCACGGCTGCAGCCCTCCCGGCCACCCTTAGCCCGAGGCAGCAGCATTTATCCCATTAATTTTAAGGATATTTAAAGGATTTGTTAAGGAGCCACTTGACGTGGTGGAAAACAAGCTCGTGATGGGGTCGGGAGCGATGTGGGAGGGCACGAGCCCGGCCCTGCAGCCCCTCGGTGATGTCCCTGGGGAATTTTGGGGAGGGCAGAGCCGGGAGGGGAGATGGGGACCGTGGGTTTCCAGCCCAGGGGGATCTGAGTGATGCTATGGGGGGGCAAAAACCCCCACCAGGGACTGCTGATGATGGTGGCCAGGGAGGAACCGGGCTCCGGGCAGCGTGTCCTCCTTTTTTTGCTGGGTTTCCTAATGCTCCGGTGACAAATAGCACCTTTATTAAAGTGCATTTAGGAAACACTGTAACCTCACGGTATATTGCTTTGCCAATGCAATAAATAATTAAATACCAGCCGAGCCCTGCTGCTTGCTAGGAAAATTACCGAGCATTAAAAGGGCAGCGGACTTTTCTTGAGCTCGCTGAGATGCAATTAACCTCCAGGAACGAGGCTGGAGTGCAAGCAGCCCTCCTTAATGGCAGGGCTGCCTCGCTCCCGCAGCCCAGGGGCTGGATGGGGCGGCCAGGGCACAGCATCCTTGCTGAGGGCACGAGGTCGGGGTCTACCCCAGGCTCCTCGTGGCTTTCCCACTCGCTGGTTCTCCCCAGAGTCTCCAGATTTGGTAAAATTTCCTATTTTTCCCCACACACACAGCTCTTTATCAAAGCACAGGTCCTGGAGCACCCATGGAGCACTAAAGCTCCCTCCATTCATGCCTCCTAAACCCTCTGGAACCACTGAAGGAAGGCTGCTAATGAGGGGTAGGGAACAATTAAGCACTAATTCCTGCTCTGGGCGGGTTTGGGGGCTCGCTCATCCCTGAGCTGACCCAGATTCGAAGGCAACTCCAGCAGGGCTCACCGCGGGGGGCTTCATGGTGGGGTGCAAGCCCCCCACATCCTCATCCTGGCATGGATTTAAGCCAGGACAATCAAACAGCAGAGGAGCAGGCGTTTTTTTTTGCAAGCCCAGCTCAGTGGAAAGGGGGCCAAGCTGCCACCACCTGGCTGGGTGCATTCCCTTGCATGGGCTGTGCCGTGACCCGGTGGCTCCGGAGCAGGCTTTTGGCACAGGCTGAAGCTGGATTTAAGAGCTTCTGTGTGCAGAGCCGGCCCTAAGCCCATTAGAGGGATCTGTGCTGTCAAAGCAGAGCTGGCTCTGCCCGTCCCCAGCCTGGCAAAGCTGCGCGGGGGTGGCCGGAGAGCGGAGCAAACCCCCTGAGCAGCAGCCCCAGCCCCAGCCGAGCCCCTCGCCACCAGTTTCGCCCTCTCCAACCAGTTCCCAGCCCCTCTGAGCCCTGCGCCAGGAGCCACCAGGCAGTGGGGCAGCCCCAGCCCCTTGGGTGCCCTCAATAGAGGGGCGAGGGGCCGAGGAGGAGCCCCCGCAGGCAGGCAGCAGATTATCCTGCCTTCGATGCACAAGCCAGCCCCGGCCTGGCCAAATCCAATTTCAATTACCTGCGCTGCTCCAGCCTCTGATTTACTCCTCCACCAGGCTGCAATTACGGCAGCCTCTGGAGCATCGCCCCTGCGTGGCGAGATCCCGCTGCCAGCCCTCCCTGAGCAAGGGCTGGAGGGGTCCTGGGGGGGCAGCGAGGACCTCTGCACCCCAAGGGGGTCCCTGCGGGGCTCCCTCCTACCCTCTTTGTCTGCAGGCCTCAGGGTGCTTTGCCTTTCAGATGGGAAAGGAGACACGGGACTTGCCCAAAACCACAGGAAAAAGCCCCGTTTCCTCCAGTATTCGTGGCAGACGAGGCTCTGGGGTTTGCTCCCCAGGCTTCCCCGCACCCCAGCCTCTTGCAGGGGGAACGGGGTGGGCACAGCCTGCAAACCCTGCTCACACGTGGGCAACAACCCCACAGCCTTTGGGGGACAAAACTCAGGGCCAGGAGGGAGGCAGTGGCTGCAGAGGAGCCCTGCGCCCACCACCTCCTACACGGGAGCAGCCCCCAAACCCATTTCCCCCTTGCCCCAAGCCCACCGTGGGCGCACCGCCCCCATCCCATCCCACACCAGCATCCTCCAGCAACAGGGACACCAACCCCTGCGCAACCCCCAGCCACTTTCTGGGGGAAAAAGCAGCACCCCCAAGACCCCAAATAGCTCCGGAACCCCCTCACCTCACCACCACCACCCCGCAGCGCCCAACCCCGTACCTTCGGTCAGCCCCAGGTGGATGCTCCAGTAGATCTGCAGGCACTGCAGCTCCTTCTTCATGCCCCTCTTGCAGCGGCAGTCGTAGAGGGGGCTCTCCTGCAGCACCTCCAGCGCCGCCTGGCACTCCTTGTTGGCCAGCATGGTGTTCCTGTCGCGCCCCGCCAGGCACTGCCGCAGCGTGCGGTACCGCGAGCTGCAGCTGGGCTCGGCCGCGCACAGCTCGTTGGCTCGCACGCAGTCCACGGGCGCCCGCCAGCCCTGCGGGTCCTGCCCTGGGGGGGACGGGGGGGCGGCCAGCGAGCGGAGGGTCTCATCTGGGCCACAGGGGTAAGCAGGAGGAGAGAGGAGGGCAGAGAAAAGTGAGGGGGTGTTGGTGGGGAGAAGGACGTGCCCCATTGCGCACCCGCCGCGAGACGCAGAGCTTCAGCCCCCAGCCGGGTGGCAATGGGGTGCAGGGAAAAGGGTTGGGGTTGATTTGGGGGGATGCCAGCCCCAAAATCAATGGAGAGATGCGAGAAGACTCTGCAGCTCTTCACCAGTCCCCTGTGCCTCTCCAACGCTTCCCTGCACCTCTCCACTGCTCCCCTGCACCTCTCCACTGCTCCCCTGCACCTCTCCAACACACCCCTGCACCTCTCCACTGCTCCCCTGCGCCTCTCCACTGCTCCCCTGCGCCTCTCCACCACTCTCAGCACCTTCCAAAATCCCAGAGAGGGATCACATCCTTCCTCTGCTCCCAGCCCCTGCCTGGATGCGTCCTCAGCTGCACCCTTGGAAATCACGCAGCATCTCCAAAACCCCGCAGCACCCCGGAGAGGGACCGCATCCTTCCTCCACTCCCAGCCCCTGCCCTCAGCTGCAGCCTCCCCGGGGGGGTGTGACACAGGGGGCCATCAGCCTCTCCTTTCCTCATGAAATCAAAGAGCAAAAAGGACAAACACGGCGTGTTTCCAGCCCTGGTGCCCGCGGAGATGAGCCTCCCCACACGACCTCCCCAGGGCAAGCCAACCCAACCTCCCCATGCGCATTGCTGATTTGTTTTTAGGTTGGGGCTCAGCATTTTCAGCCTGGCCACGGGATTTTTTGGGCGTCTGACTCATGGCTTTTGAGCTCCCGGGCTCAGCAGGGCTGCGGAGTGGTGTGGCTGGGCACGAGCTCTCCCCCCAGCACGGCCCCCTGCCCGTCTCCGCGCTGCGCCCCTCCAGGAGGCCGTGCTCCAGCTCCTGCCCTCGCCGCGGGCCCTGCCTTGGCCGCCAGCCCCGAGCTCTCCCCATCCTGCCAGGCACTCCCTGAGCCCTCCCGTTATTCCCATTGCTTGCTTGTTTTTTGCTTTCCAAAAAAAAATCTGGCTAAGCAGAACCCTGGCCAAGGCGGGGGTCCCTTCGTGGGCGCATGGGGAAGGGGGGCAGGCTGGGACGGCACCGCTGGTCCCCAACCGAGCCATGGGGACAGGGAGGGGACAGCAGAGCCCCTGCCACTCCTGGACCCCCACCTCCAAAACTGCAATTGTGGGCAGGGAAAACCTTGGAGCAAGCAAAGATGGGCACAGCAGGACCTTCGGGGTGTCCTCAGCCACCCCAGGGGGTGACACATGGGGACACCCCACATCGTGCAACGCCCCCGCCACGAGCCATGGGTGTCACTGCCCGTGGTGCCACGGGGAGCAGCTCCAGGAGCAGCAAATGTCAGCCTCCAGCTCCAAGCCCCTTTCCCTCTCCGTGGCCACTTGTCCGGGTACGGCGTGGGGACAGTGACACCTACAGGCATGTGACAAGGGCCACCCGTGTCCCCCCACCCACGGGGCCACGCAGGGAGCTCCATACAAGCAGGGCTCGTCCCCTGCCTCCACACGAGAGGGGACACTGGGGGCTCGGGTGGCTCTGCAGGAGGGACGTGGCGATGTGGGGCTGGGATCCCATCCTCCTGGGCTTCAGCTGCTGGCCCCAAAAACCCATCGGTGTGTTTGGAGAGGTCTGGAGGGCATCCAGGTGAGCAGGAGCAGCCACAGGGCCCCTCTGTCCGTGTTAGATCCAAGGTGGGCTGGCAGGTGTCCCCGGCCACGGCTCTCCTCGCCGTTTCGGGTTTATATTCCACAGGGGGAGCAGGCAGGGTCCGTGCACGGCGGCGGAGAAGCTGGCATCCCCAAACGCTCCCCAGGGCTGAAACGCAAACGTCTTGAGCCTCCCAGCAAGCTGGGGCAGGCAGCTCCCGCAGGGCACTCGGCTGCCATACAGGCAGAGCCATCCCGCAGCTCAGCACCACGCCGCTTCTCCTCCTCCATCCCGGCTGCGCATCCCTCTGGCTCCAGCCCCAAACCCAAAGCTCGGCTCCGATCCGTGCTCCCGCTGCCTCCACGGAGCCTCGTCGCGGGTCCCCTCTCCTCGCCGCCTCCGTGCGCCTCCCGGGCGGGTGCCAGCAGGGTGTGGGGAAGGGAAACGGCTTTGCTCCGATGTAAAATGCGCTCGTGGAGCTCGTGGAGCATCCTCCCGAGGGGCCCAGCACCCCGAGCAGTGCGGTGCCGGGGTGGGAAGGCCAGCAATAAATCCACCCAGCACCACCACATCCGAGGTTTGGATGCCACAGCAGCACGGCGCAGAGCTGTCCTGCTCTGGAGGAAGGGCGAAGCAGCCCAAATTTTTGCCCCCAAGGCCAGCCACATGCTCAGCCCCTGGCTGGACAGGCTGGAACCGAGGTGTTATTTCTGAGACCCCCCTCCCCTCCTGCCCATGGCACGTTCGGACCTAGGCAAAGCCCCCCCAAAACCCTGCAGGGGTGCAAGGGGCAGGCTGAGCCTTCGTTCTACCCAAACCAAACCACCTCACGGACAAACCTCTGCCTAAACTCGTGTCCATAAAACACCTGCAGGGAATTTCGACCCAATCCTCGGCCGTCTCAGGGGGGTCAGAGCACAGCACGGATTCGCAGGCAGAGGCTCAAACCTCCGGCAGCCAGGGAACGAGGCAGCAGCAGGCTCCGTAGCCACCGTTCCCATCTAGCTGCAGTGCTCTTTTTCCTCTCACTGCTCGTGCCAGAGACCTTTGGACACAGGCAGAGGGAAATATTTATCCTCGCAACTTGACGAAAAACAACAACAACCAAAAAAAAAGAAAAAAAAGAATTGCTGAGGAGCACGCAGCCTCCCAGCCTCACTGTCGTGGTAGCAATTGCGTTATCCCAGCTGAGAGGGATATTTTATTATTTTATTTTTTTTTTTTTGTCTCTCCGGAAAGAAAAGCCCAGATGTTAAGAGCTAAGCCAAGAGCTGGGTTTCCTCCCTGCCTGGCCCTGCCACGCACCCAGGAAGCCCCAGGGGCACGGGGAAGGGGCTGAGGGTCTGGATTTTGGGCTGCCAGCCCTGCGAGGAGGACGGACCACGATTCGGATGCCTCAGGTGGAGCATCCCGGTGGTCCTCCTGAAGCCCCCTCGTGAGACCCCCACCAGCGACTCAGCCGTGCCCACAGATGGGGCTGCCCCCCAGCAGCCCCCACCGTGCCCCCAAACCTCGCTCCCTCTGGCTCAGGTTTGTGCCCCGACCCCGACACTCCCCGGCAAGTCACAGGCAAGGACACCCCAAATTTTGGCTCAGCCCCCCGCCACCCAAACCCACATCCCCAGCAGCGTGGGGGCACGCAGACCCCTCACCACCAGGGCACAGCAGGATTACATCGGGGAGCAGCAGAGGGGGAAGAGCACCTGCCCCCAATTCCCCCAGGGCACTGAGCATCCCCAAAAGGTGCCGAGCACCCCGCACAGGGTGGATCCTCCACCGCGGGTGCCTTTTCGGGAGGTTCGTGTGCCAGCCCTCTGCAGCTCCCCATCCCTTCTCCTCCTCGGCCTCGCAGCCTCGAGCTCGGCGGAGTTTTTCCAGGCTGCTGCAGAGCTTTTGGGATCGCTCGCACGCAGAGCCAGCGGGGTGCAGGAGCTGCCGTAGCCACGGCTGGAGCACAGCGCACAAACCCCAGCCCTACACACAGCAGGGCAGCTCGCCAGCCTCCCAGGGGGGGAAAAAGGGGACCCTGCTCATCTCCTTTTGCACCTCGCATCCAATACAACCTCTGCCTTTTCCCCTTTTTTCCAGTCTGCACCTTCCCCATCGCCGCGGGAGGCTGCCCTAGAAATGCGGAGCGTTCTCCCTGGCAGCCTCCAGAGCTCCCAAATAACTCGCCCATGAGCGCACGGATTGCAACAGCGGGGACGGCGGCTCCCCGAGCGCACGCGAGCGGCTCAACTTTCCCAAAAAACCTCCGCTCCACGCCGAGCTCAAAGGCACCCGTGGGAAACCGAAGGGCTGGGGGGACACGAAGGGACCTGGGGAGGGGGGTTTTAGGGTGGGAAAATCCTCCGAAATGCAAATCCTCGCGGTGCTGCCCAAGGCGAGAGGGGACCGGGAGCGCGCGGGTGCTCCGGGTCCCCTGCGCGGTGCCACGGCCACGTCCCCAGCCGTCGGTGCCCCGGTTTGGGGCTTCCGAGGGGTTGGCCGGGGTTTAGCCCCCCGTTTTAAGCTTGGGTAGGGCACAGGCAGAAATTGCTGGCCCTGGTGGAATTGCTGCCGTGCGGGGTCTCGCCTCAGCCCCCTCCTGATCCTGGACGAGGAGGCGCAGGATGCGCAGCGCCCGCAGCCCGCGGGCAGAGCGGGGCAGGGCAGGGCAGGGCAGGGCTGGGCTGCCACTCACCTACGAAGAGGACGATGCAGAAGGCGTTTGCCAAGATCATGTTAGGAAATCCACGAGGATCCTCCGCGGGCGGTGGGAAAAAAAAAAAAAAAAAAAAAAAAAAAAAAGGAAAAAAAGAAAAAATGGAAAAAAAAAAATGAAAAAGAGGAGGAAAAAAATGGGTAAAAAAAAAAGGATCGGGGAAGGAAGCAAAGCCCCCAGACGAGCAGGTAGATCCCAAATCCGCACGGCTCCGCGAAGAAAGGCGAGGTGGGGGGGTGTGGGGGCGCTCCGCCCGGCAGCGGGGCTCGGAGCTCGGAGCCCCCCCGCACCCCCGGCCCCGCTTTGCGCACGGGGGCACGGCACCGCGCACCGCGCACCGGGCACCGCGCACCGGGCTCCGGGCACCGAGCACCGGGCTCCGGGCACCGAGCACCGCCGGCTGCCGGCGGCTCTGAGCCGAGCGGGGGCTGCGCGCCCGCCTCTGGCTGCCGGGGGGGGGCGCGGCGAGGGGCGGCTGCGCTGCTCCGCCGAGCCCCGGCGGAGGAGAAGGGGGCAGAGCCGGCGGGGCCGCCCCGTTCCTCCCCTCCCCTGCCCTCTCCGCCCCTCGGCGGGGCCGGGGAGAAGAACGGGAGGGGGGCAGAGGAGCTGAGGCCGCCCTTGTGCCGCCCTTCGGTGGGGTAGGGGCTGGGGGGTGAGGGCTGGGGGATGTGGCGGAGGGAGGGGGCTTCGCTCCTGGGTGCCTGCAGCCCTGCGTCTTTCTGTCCCTGGGTCCCTATATCCCTGTCCTTTCATCCCTGGGTCCCTGTGTCCCTGTATTTTCATCCCTGTGTCCTTCCAGCCCTGTGTCCCCATATCCCTGTGTCCCCATATCCCTGTGTCCTTTCTTCCCTATGTCCCCATGTCCCCATATCCCTGTCCTTTCATCCCTGCATCCTTCCAGCCCTGTGTCCCTTCATCCCTGTGTCCCTATAACCCTGTGTTCCCATATCCCTGCCCTTCCCTCCCTGTGTCCCTATATCCCTGTCCCCATACCCCTTTGTCCCTATATCCCTGCGTCCTTCCATCCTTGTACCCCTCCATCCCCGTGTCCCCATATCCCTGTGTCCCCCCACCCCCATATCCCCAAATTCCCGTGTCCCCCTGCCCCCCACCACCCCACCTCCACACAATGGGGGAGCCACCACCACCACACAGCCCAAGCTGACCCCCCCATTCCCCCCCCCAGCCCCCTGAGACCTGCTCACCCCCCAAACCCCCTCCCCGCTGCGCCCCCGGGGATGGGGAGCGGGGACCCCCCAGCGGGCTGCGGGGACACAGGGAGGTGGCCAGCCAGAAAAATGCCACCAGCTCCTTTTTTGGGGGGGGGACACACACAGCAATGGGGGGGGGGACCTGCCGGCTGATCTGCGTGTGGGAGGCATCGCACACCCCCGCACATGTGCGTGCACACGCAGCCAGGGGGGGAATTATTCATTCATTCACGGCTCCGCAAGACAGCCTGAGCCCCGAGCTCGGCCCCTTTCCCCGTGCCCCCCACCCCCAGCATCACCGCTGGCGTGTTTGGGGACGGGGTCCCCTCCATCCCCACCCCTCTGCCTGCCCCTATAAATGCCCAGGGTTGTGCAGAGGTGTGGGGCTTCGCCTTTCTTCTGCCTCCCCCAGTCACCATCGCCCCCTCCCAGTGCTGTCCTCCAAGCCTGGTGCCCCCCCCTTGCCCAGGAAAAGGTTCAGGAAGGATTTTGGGGGGACACAAAAACGCTGAGCATTAGTGAGGCTTCTCGTGTAACGTCCTTCCCGTCCTATTCTTTCCCTGCTCTTTGCTCTCCCTGGCTTGCCTTCGCTTTAAAAAAAAAATGAAAGAAATGGGAAAAAAAAAAAAAAAAGAAAGAAAAAAAAAAAGCAAAGCCGACACTGACTTAGCAGGATGTTCCCGTGCTTTCACAGAGCCTAAATGGAGACAGCAGCGAACAGCGGTGTCCTTAGCTGCCCGGCATCACTTTAATTTTGTCAGCCCTCGCAGCGGCTCGCTGCTCTGGTAGGATTTACCCAAAAATGCCAGTCCCCGTGGAAAGGAGCCGCTGTGCCGCTCTGCGCTCCCCCCTTCGTGCCAGGGCGCAGAGATCTGAGCCCAGCAGCTCTGTCCAACACAGGACACCTCCATCTCCCCCTTGGGATGGCAAAAATCCTCCTCCACAGCACCCCAGCACCCAGAAAGGAAAGGGAGCAGCTCTCCTCCCTCTCCTCCCTCTCCTCTATTTTATTTTTTTTCCTTGCACAGCGCCCAGCAGGACCCAGAGCAGCTTCGGGCCCCCAGCTTTGGGTCCCCAGGGGATGCAGGATGGGTCCCCTCACCTCTTATTTATGTTTGGGGGGAGAAATAAATTAAAAAAAGACTTTATTATGCCACCAAAATAATGATGCTAATTGCCAGGGGTCCCATGCCCAGCATCCCTTTGGCTGTGCCAGGATGGGACCTCTCGTGGGGCGGGGGCACCTCGCTTTGTTTCTGCAGAGGGACCGATAAAAGCAGCGGGGGGATTCCTCCCCTCCTTCCCTCTAAGCCCCATTAATATGAGCTGGATTTGCCTACCCTCCTGACTCCAGACTTTAATTCTGCGGAGCATTATCATATTAGCGGGTGTCAGGGTTGTTAACGTGATGGATTATACATTAGCAGTGTAATCCTGGGGGGGGGGAACAGGACCAGCCTCAGAGCCTGCCCCAACACTCGCTGCCTTCTCCCGGTCCCACTGGCTGTGGGGTGAGCACGGGGGGGACCCCAGGTCCCTTTGTGCTGCGCTCCTGCCCTTGGCAGGGACAGGGAGCAGGGCACCCTGCCCCAAACCCCAAACACTGTGTCCCATCGCGGGGTTCCCACCTCGGGGTGCTGCAAGGAGCAGATCCCCAAGGGCTGACCCCATGGGTGTCACCAGGCTTCATCCTGGCACCGTCCCCCCTTGGGGATCTCCTCGGGGACCACGTTTGCAGGACTGCTGCCAGCAGCCAGCTCGTAGCCACCGGCTACGGGAGTCCTTCGAGCACCCCGACGCTGATGGGCCCCGACAGCTCCGTGCACACGCAGGCTATTTTTTCCCTCGCTGCTGTTTTCGGAGCTGATTCTCCCCCTTTAACCTCTGCCAGGGCAAACAATCCCCATCCCCTGCCCGCATCCCCATCAGCTGAAGCCTTGGACAAAAAGGAGCCCAAAAAGGAGCTCGGTGACAGCGCCATCGACCCCGCTCCCAGCTCCGTCCTGCTGGAGAGGAGGCAATAATTTGGGGAGGATGAGATGGATCCCAGCTAATCGAATGGGTTTTTCCCAAGCCAGGCTGAAAATACCCCAAAATGCTGCCTCTGCCCAGCTGGCAGCAACAGGAGGGATGGAGCTGGTGGTGCTCAGGGGTGGCGGCCGGCTCCCATGGGTACAGTCTTGTCGTGCCCTCATCGTCCTGCACAGCCCCAAATCACACCCAAGATTTACATCCACCACCACAGCACCCGGCTGAGCTGGAAGAGAAGCAGTTGGAGGTTTTATTTTGGACTTGTTGGTTTTGCTCTGCTCTCTCCTTAGTGTCCGAGCTGGGGCTCCCTGCCCTGCTTGGACCAAGGGACCCCATGGGGTGATTTTTCTGGGCACATCAGGGACACCCCAGCTTTTAGCTCCTGGGATGGAGCCCCAGCGCCCTCCCTGTGCAAACAGCTCCTTGTTCCCAGCAAACCAGGGCTGGAGGAGAGGGCACGGAGGAGAAGAGGCTTGGCAGCTGCCCTGGGAATGACGTGGGGAAGGGCAGGGTAATGAGGCCGCTTCCAGCGCCACGCACTCAGCCGCCATCAGGCAGCGAAGCAAATCGAGTTTCACTAAAAGCTCCGGAGCCCGGCCTGGGCTGCCCCCTCCCGCCCCCGCGCTGGTCCCGGGGAATGAGATTTCCATCTCCTAACCGGCTGCTGGGGAAGAGTAATTGCCGTGGTCTGCGGTGGGGCAGGAGCCTTGAGTGGATCTGACATAATCGGATGAAGCTTCCCGTGCCCCCGCTGTCGGAGCGGGTTAGCAGGATGGGGTCTGTGTCAGGAAACAGCCCGAATTCCTATGCTCACGGCCAGGGGTGAGCTCTGCAGGGGTCTCCAAGAAGCAGAGGGTCCCCAGGGAGGTCCCCAAACATCCCCAAGCATCCGCACTGCTCTGTGCGAGGTGGGCTCAGCACCAAGGGCGAGCGGAGCAGCAGGTGCCCAGGCAGTGGTGGTGACGCACGGCACACCCTGTGCATTATTTAGCATCATTTCATGGGGTATTCTTCCAGCTTTTTCCCCAAACACACCCTCTTATAGCGGCATCGCCTGCGCCCAAGCGATTTGGAGATGAATTTCTGCGTCGCGCCCCCCCCAGCCTTTGTGGGAGATGGCCAAAGCCGCGTCCTGCTCCGCTGTCCCCTGGGGTCCCTGGCACTCTCCCCAAGTCCCTTGATTATTTTTATTGTCTCCATCTTCCGCTGCGAGCCCTGCCTGCTGTGTCAGCAGGCGTATTTATAGCTGCGCTCTGCTCCCAGGCTGATGTCAGGAGCATCCTTCCCCTGGCTGATCACTACCTGTCACTCCAGGCTTCTTTGTGCTGCCCGGGCCACTTCCACTTGCAGCTGCTTCTCCTGCTTCTGCTCCTCTCGGGCACCAAATTTCCCCCACAAACACCTTCCCGGTGCCTGCAGGTAGCTCCAGAGTGACACCGAGCCGTGGGGGCATTGCCGGGGGGCTGTGCTGGTTGCAGGTGGGCTCAGGAGGGGTCTGTGCTCCTGTCCCCCCGATGCAGCAGCCTTGTGCATGGCTTCAGTGGATTTATCAGTTCTGTTTTCCTTGGCATTGCGAGCTGAGCTTAATTACGGGTGCTTTTATCCGCGTTAATAACATTTGCAGTGCTGCAAGCCCGGAGAGCGGGGTGAGGGCGGTGAAGACCTCTGCTCCGGGTGGGAGCTGGGGGCTGCAGGGGAAAAGAGGCTGCTTGGCCCCATGTGGGGCTGCATTAAATGGAAAAGGAGCAGGCAGCACGAGGTGCCCATCACCTCCCATCCCATCCATCCCATCCATCCATCCCACCCCATCCCACCCCCAGGCTCCCTGCAGCACCACCCTGGGGAGGCAGCTTGCCAAAAATGCGCCCTCGGCGCTCGTGCGCACGGGCACGGGCGGCGTTTGCGGAGCAGACCCAGGACACATCTCCCTGTCATTTACTCCTTGCTTCCTCCGAGAGCTGTCAAGGAGGATAAGAGGGTGCAAAGAACAACGGTAACACTCCAAATAATCAAAACCCTCTCTGAGAAGCAGATCCTGCCAGCTCAAAGCCAGCCTCCTTGGGAAAAGCATTTCAAGCACCATAAAAAAAAAAAAAACTCTGTCTTCCAGGAACCCCCTTGCTCACCGGCGCTCTGCAAAAGGAGAACGTTCATTTTTTATTTATTTATAAGCCCAAATAACAATAACAAAATACTAATAAGCTGGGGAGGCAGGGGAAGGCAGCTGCCTGATGCGGGGAGCGCTGGGGAGGGCAGGAGGA